CAGGACCCTTCAGCCCGCAGACTGATGCTCTATCCACTGAGCAAAACTGGCCAGGGCAATATCAGATTTTAAATGTGGCCAGTCTTATCATTGGGCAATATTACAAAACATTAAATAGTGAGGTTTTAGTTAGTAATAATTCAGATGATAAAAGTGAGTTTTACATTTTTCATGTTATCCCCTTTAGACAAAGTTTAAAAAATTTAAATATACTTTCATTTTTAATCAGTAAATTTTATTTCATTTCTTTAGAAAAAGCATTTGATGATCTATAAGATACAAAAAAAAAATTTCCCATTGAATTTAGTGAAACATGCTGTTTTCTATTGAACTTTACAGCTTTACTTATCAATTTGACCCTAAAAAATGTATCATCTATAATTTTCTGTGTCTGATTTTAAAAAGTTGGCAGTTATGTTTGTCTCTATTTCTGAACTTGAAAGGAAAATTATCCTTCTCCCACCTTCAACAAAGGTAGTTATATTTAGATATATGGTTGAAGACATTTCCAAAAGAGATCAGTAGCTTAATATCTAATGATGAAGATGGATTAAATCAAGGCACTTACTTACAAATACCATGAAACTGTTAAAACCTGTGTTTAAAACAAATCAGTGACATAATAAAATGTTCCACATTCTCCAATTGCATAACCATAAAATGAACATATTTCATGTCATAACACAGCAGTATGGGAAAATATAAATTAAAAGCTCCCTCTTTTAAACATTCCCCATCCACTGAAATATTAACAGGGGTTATCTTTGCTAGAGGAATTACGGGTGATTTTAATGATCTTTCCTCTGCTTTTAGCTACTTGTTTCCCAAATTGGCATTCATTTTAATAACAAAAATAATTCTAATAAATATCTTGTGTATAATTATGGCATACTTTAAGTTTTTTATTACCTGTGATAATTTCTACATGTAGATCCATAGGAAAAGCAATGATTTAAACTAACTGCTGATGCTTTTCATGGAGAAAGGGAATTATTTTCAAATACAACTTGTAGCTGGAAGTTGGAAGATTATCTGATGCCCTCTTGTGGCCAAAATTTTTTCAATGGTGATTTGTTTCTTTTCATTGAAATCTTATCTAAACCAAGAAAAGAACAAAATATCCTATTGTTTTCCAAATGACAAATAATGCTTACTCACTATTACTAACCCTTTAAGGGTAACCACTATTAAGGGGTTAGCCTATCTTTTGCTTCTAAAAGCATGCTTCCTGGGTTTGAAGACCACCTGGGGCAACTTGGATACTCTTGAGACTCAATTTCAGTGACAATCCTGTTAAGTTCTATTATTGGCCTCATTTTTTTAACCTATTATCTCACTCAATATGGTGGACAGCTTGTGCATCAGTAGTCACAGATTATTCTTGCATTGGTCTTACTCTTACATAGTATGAATTATGTCTATCATGGCAAATAATGCACATTGATTTATATATTTGCAAAAGTATTTCCAATTATCTTCTAGATATATACTATATAGTAGGATTTGCATTTTTTGACATTGTCAAATTACCGTCCACAATAAATGCAAACTGCAATCTTTTCAATGTTTGTCTCTGTGTTAGGTGAAAAGTAGTGATTTCTTGGTGTTAGCTTTTATTTTCTTTGTCATTAGTGTGCCATTAGCACATCTTCTGTTTTTAAGCCATTTGTATTTCTTTATATTTGGCTCTGCTAAATAATTTAATTATTTGTAGGAGTTTTTTGTATAAAGAAGGTTAGTTCATTTTCTTTTAAACATTTTGTGGAAATTTCCCCCTCTTTGGAGTTTGTCTTTTAATATGCAGCTTGTCTTTTTCTTCAATTCCAAATCACCAAATCTTTCTGTCCAGGGGGGAAGATTTTGCTACACTAAGACTTGTAAATATCTCATTTATTTCCTCAGTGCTTTTATAGTTTTATAATTTACATTTTATCTTTAATCTATCCAGAATTTTTATGAAGTACTAGGAATTTAACTTAAAAAATTGTGTGGCCAAATAGTTCACTATTAATATTTTATTAGTGACTCATTTCCAATTTGTAAAGACACATTCACCATACATTAAACTTCTGTATAGTCATTCACTGCCTAACATTTCCATCAATGGCAGAACACATATATGACATAGCCTACATGCTTATTAGGTTATACGATCTAGGTTTTGTGGGTACCCCCTATAATGTTCTCAGGACCAAACCACATAATGATACATTTCTCAGAATATATCCCCCTTGTTAAGTGGCATAGGACTCTGTGTTTTTGGTTCTATACTTGTAATTCTATCATTCGTGTATTAGTTCACTACTAGATTATACTTTAGAGCAGTGGTTCTTACCTTTCTAATGCTGCCACTCTTTAATACAGTTCCTCATGTTGTGGTGATCCCCAACCATAAAATTATTTTTGTTTTGCTACTTCATAACTGTAATTTTGCTACTGTTATGAATCGAAATGTAAATATCTGTGTTTTCCGATGGTCGACATTCAACCACTGAGCCACACCAGCAAGGCAGCTTTCTTTTGCTTTAAAACAGTGGTTCCCAACATGGGGTACACACCCCATAAAGGGCAATTTGATTTTTAAGAGAGGGGCAATTTGAGTTATTAACAGTGAATTTTGGGGGTTTATGACTCTAGGGGCCTCTTATCTATAATATAATAATAAAAGCATACTATGCTGATTAAACTCAACAGCCAAACAACCTTCCAGATGTTATTCCAGAGGCCGAAACAGAGGCAGTTAGGGGCAATTAGGCAGAAGTGTGGTTAGGGGCGGTCAGGCAATCAGGCAGAGGCAGTTAGGGGCCATCAGGGAGGCAGGCGAGCAGTTAGGAGCCAGAGGTCCTGGGTTGCAAAAGGGTGCAGGCTGGGCTGAGGGACCGCTCCCATACATGAATTTTGTGCACTGGGCCTCTAGAACAGTATATATATATTGTGACATATTTATGTATTTCAGTTCTCTATTATTTTTGAAACTTTGCTATTTTTTCATATCACTTCATATATATATATATATATATATATATATATATATTTTTTTTTTTTTTTAATAATTTAGTGATTTCTTCTTCAGTACTTCAACTGTCCTTTAAATTCTTTTGTTTTTCTCTGTCATGTATGCCATGTTTTGTGGAAGCTTAGACCATTAATGGCCTTTTAGGCTTCCTTCATATGAATAGTTTACTTTTTGAATAATAAGAATTATATGTTATGGGGGCGGAGGGGCATCAGGGTTTTGGAGATGCTTAGGTGGGGCATATCCAAAACAATGTTGGGAACCATTGCTTTAAATGTATTTTAGAACAAGGTGGGAGGTGGATATCAAGTCACAAATATTCTATAGGTAGTTCATCTAATATACAAATTCAAAATTAGCCTTTTCCCCAAAGCACCCTGCCATTTTGTTGTCAGCAGGAATGAGTTAGAAATTTGGGTGATTTTATAGTGACCTAATGTGGAAAGCAATGTCCAATTACCAGGGGGATGCCAAAAATACTTCCTTGTCAGTATGGTTAGTATACTTCTGGATTTTCCCAATAAACATGTAACTACGACTAGAGGCCCAGTGCATGAAACCCATATGCACAGGTGAGATCCCTAGGGCTGGCCTGCGACTAGGTCAATCAGGGTCAGGCCAGAGAGGAGGCAACAGTCACTGGTGCAGAAGGAATAGATGCTGGACACTGATGCCACCATCATTGGCTCTTCGCCACTGTGCTGTTCTCTGCCTCCCCCCTTCCTCCTCTCGCTGTCACACTGCCCGTGGGCAGGCCAGTGGTGGGCCAGTCAGGGCCTGCTAGCCAGAGGGAAGGACGGGGCACAGGAGGGAGCCGGCCCCACGCACCCCCTGGTGTTCAGTGTACATCATAGCAACCAGTCGTTCCGGTCACTTAGACATTACATAGATAGATGATAGATAGATAGATAGATAGATAGATAGATAGATAGATAGATAGATAGATTAGTAGCCTGGTGCACTAGTGGCCTCGTGCACAGGGATGGGGGTAATGTCCCTCAGCCCAGTGTGCACCCTCTCCAATCTTGGACATCCCTCACCATCTAGGACCACTGGACCTCTGGCCGGGTGCCCTTTTGGCTGGGTGGCACCACAGGCTTACCCGCACTCCTGCCGGTGGTCACTCCCAGGCCAGATGGCGTGGCGTGCCTGCTTGCAACCCCCGGCCAGGCAGCCTCTGTGCTGGGCAGTGCTGCAGGCCTCTGCACTTGCACTAGTGTCTGTTCCACTGGAGGCCACTCCCAGGCTGCACCTGACCAGTCGTGACCATTATGGTGTTCAGGCTAATTAGCATATCCCGCTATTATTGTATAGGATGTGAGCAAATTAACAGGACAAATGCTAACTCCCTGATAAAAAATACCTAAAACCTACCTGTCACCTTAATAATTGACCACACATCTCCCTTTGTCACACAAAACTCTTATCCATAATAGCAAGTTTTTAAAAATTTCAGACTTAAGTAAAACTGCTCTCCCTTGTGATACCAGTTCCCCCTAGAAAAATAAACTGGTTTGAATAGGCATTCACTATATATAGAGGTAGGCAAAAGTAGGTTTACAGTTGTACAATAATATTCTGTGCGTTTACAATTGTAAACCTATTTTTGCCAACCCCTGTTTTTCAGAGAAAAAAGTATGTTAAAAGTTGTTTATATATAAAACTAGAAAAGTATCTAAGGTTTAAAAATAAGTTTTATGTTGAGATCACACTTCAATTTCCATACTTCCAAACCTGAGTTATGATTATGACTTAATGTTTGTGCACTTCTCTGATATTATGTCAACAGAACTTATCAGAAAAGAAATGACAGCAGGAATTCAGAATAGTCATGGTTATCCAATAATGTATTAGCAAATTGACTTTTTCTGATGTTAAATAATTTAAAGATGTAGAAAATGGGGAAAAGCATTGATCTCAATTCTTTAAAATGTATCCTGGGGGAGAAAAATCCATTCTTATCTCTCCTTTTCTCTTTTTGTAGTTCAAGTACACTTACAAGACTGATGGCATTACAGTGGTGTAAATATGGACTTCTGAAGAATCTGAAGTACTGTTTTATTTGGCTTTATTTTGGACCTCTAGTAGACTTAACATGTTGCAAAAAAGCAAATGGGCACAGAAATTAAGAGTGGTTGAAAGGATATTTCTGCTTATGCACTGGCATTACGAACGTAAGTCAAATGTCTTATCAAAATTAGTACATGCCGGTCCTAACCAGTCACTCAGTTGGAGCATTGTCCCATGCACCAAAATGTGGCGGGTTCTATTCCCAGTCAGGGTGCATACATAGGTTGCAGGTTCAATCCAGGGTACAGGAGGCAACTGATGAATATTCCTTTTCCCACCATCTCCTCCTCCCTTCCCCCCAAAAAAGGGGGAAAAAACATTAGTACAGGCCAAATCTTTGTGTAGGAAAGTATTATAGTGACTAATAATTTGAAAGATGTTTTTATGATGTTTATATTTTCAATGAGCTAATACTAATGAATTTTATTCTTTTATATGCATATTTTGCCACTGTAGATTTTGGGAAAAGTGTGGTTTTTAAAAGTTGATTTTTTTAAAGGAAAATTAAAAAATTTATTTTCTTTGCTAAATATTTAATTAAAGTTTAGCGAAACATGACCTTTACTCTTTCCCTTTTTTATGCACAGAACAGAAGCACACATTGTCATGCCTCAAACTACTTTTTATTTGCAACTACATGATTTCACACAATTCTTCTAAACAATGACATAAAATATATTTCCCTGCGTATAAATAACTTACATACTCTCCATAAAGTAAATGCTGAAAGGTGCTATTATAACAGATTGACCACTCCTACAGTGTTCTCTTATGCAACAGAGTTGATGCACAATATATAAATACTCAAATCCAATATTAAAAACTCAGGCACTTGACTAACTTTAATAAAATTTCTCAAACTATACCAACATATCTAAAGTGCATATATTTTTTAGAAAGATTATTCTCAATAACTTCTTCTATAAAAATAAGTTTGATGGTTTAACCCATCTAACTTTACTACTATGAATAGGAACGTTTAATATGCAGCCAGGCTTATTCTACCTTCTCTCAACATCAATAGAAACAAAAGCAGCTAATGAGGTGCTAACATGTGAGGATTAATCCAGTGATTCCGGTCACAATGCATTCCAGGAGGAGGCACCCATGTTACTGGAATTGGGCGATATGGTTTATTATTCTTCCTTCCCTGATGTGGATAACCAAATGGAACAGGCGGAGGGTAGTGACACTGATGGCCATTCCCTCGGTACATCCCTGGCTTTTTTCTGGGCATAGGGTGCCACATTGGAAGAGGTGGGAATATCAATTCTGAAATCTGCAGGAAAGAAAAAAACACTAAGTTAATTCAAAGGAAAAATTAGTCATGTGTTATGTAAAATTAATTGAGCTTCCAGATTCTTCATTAAAGAAAAAATCACTCACCCACAACCCTAAGAATGATATTCCTATGGTAAAGTCTAAATACAGGGTGGGCCAAAAGTAGGTTTACAGTTGTGAGTATGCAACCGAGTTTATTCTTGTATAATTTATTAATTATTGCATTATTTCCAGTATTAACATCTGTAAACCAATTTTGGTCCAACCCCATATGTTAAAAACCTTATATATAGTAAGTGATTAATAAGTGTTTTCTGAATGAGAATTAATAAACAAAGCAATCTGAGGCAACCAGAAATATTCAAAACACAGAATGAATGGAAGCTTGTAAGGAGGTATCTATTATTTGGGGTAGGCAAAGACTTCTTCCAGGGTACAGAAAAAAACAGAAAAAAAAAATTGATAAATTTGATTGCATTAAAATTTAAAATCTCTCTATATTTTCTTCTAAAAACAGAAGACATTTATTTAGCTTTTATGTTTAGGTCTATGACCCCTCTCAAATTATTTTTTTAAATATATTTTATTGATTTTTACAAAGAGGAAGGGAGAGGGATAGAGAGTTAGAAACATCAATGAGAGAGGAACATAGATCAGCTGCCTCCTGCACACTCTCTACTTGGGATGTGCCAACAACCAAGGTACATGCCCTTGACCAGAATTGAACGTGGGACCCTTCAGTCCACAGGCTGACAGTCTACCCACTGAGCCAAACCGGTTAGGGCTCAAATTAATTTTTTAATGTATGGTGTCAGGTAGGTTAGGTGCTTTTTAAAAGAAAATATATATATTATTCAATTGTTTCAGTATTAAGTTATTAAATACTTTTCCTATTGAATTGCTTTGGCATTTTTATTTTAAAAAAGACTGCTGGTCTATTTCTGTACTCTACTCTTACATGAATATATTTGTGTACCTTTACACCATTACCACTTTTTATTGATAAACATAATGGCTTTATGTGAGGCCTCCAATTTGATTCTATTGTAAGTTTTAGAATATCTTTTGGGATTCAGATTGATATTGAGTTGAATCTATAGATCATTTTGGGGAGAAATGACATAATCTTCACTTCTTAATTAGTAGAGAGTTATCACTGAAGGTACCTTTAAAAAATACAGACTCCTCAGAAACAAAAATCACAAGCTAAGAATTATTGTCCTTACTTTGATAAACCCTTTTTAAAAGTTCTTGGCAAAGCCAGGTTCAAGATAGGACCCTGGGCAGGTAGCTCAGTTGATTAGAGCATCGTATCCCAATACACCAAGGCTGAGGGTTCGACCCCATCAGGACACTTAAGGTAAGGCTCAATTGTTTGGAGGGGCATACGGATGTGCAATGGTTGCAGGTTGAACCCCCTGGTCAAGGCACATACAAGACTCAACCAATGAATGCCTGAGTAAGTGGAACAACAAATTGATATCTGTCTCCTCTCTTTCTTCCCCTTCTTTCCTCTCTCTCAAATCAATGAATAAAAAATTGATTAAAAAAAAAAGTAGATAGGAAGGAAAGATTAAAATTGGCCACTTTCACCAGCTGCCTACAATGGTGTACAAACAGGCTTCTCTGTTCATGAAATTTTTTGTTAGTGGATAAAATGTCAAAAAGAAATGTTTTACTTAAAATGCATGAGACTTTCATATCCTGATATAATTTTATCCTAACAGTCTCTCAACATGGGGGAAATAAATACCATTTTAAAATAAAATTTAAAAGTCAACTTACTTGTAAAATATTAGAATCAGTTCAATTTGAGACTTACATTTTTGCTTTGTTGACCAACAACAAACAAAATTCTGATATAAAATAGCCACATATATGAATGAACTCCAAGTAATTTATAGTATATAATATACCAGGGGCATGAAACATCACGGGGGAGGAGGGAAAATGTCCCTCAGCCAAGCCTGCATCCTCTCCAATCTGGGACCCCTCGAGGGATGTCCGACTGTCCGTTCCCAACTGCTCACCTGCCTGCATTCCTGATTGCCCTTAACTGCTTCTGCCTGCCAGCCTGATTGATGCCTAACTGCTTCCCTACCAGGCTATTTGCCCTAACTGCCCTCCCCTGCAGGCCTGGTCACCGCTAACTGCCCTTCCCTGCAGGCTAGATTGCCCCCAATTGCCCTTCCCTGCAGGCTCGGTCCCAACTTCCGTCCTCTGCCGGCTTGGTCACCCCTAACTGCCCTCCCCTACAGGCTTGATCGTCCCCAACTGCCCTCCCTTGCAAACCTGGTGTCTCCCAACTACCCTCCCTTGCAGGCCATCTGTGGCAGCCATCTTGTGTCCACATGGGAACAGCCATCTTGTGTTAGAATGATGGTCAATTTGAATATTACTTTATTAGTTAGGATAGAGGCCTGGGCCAGCTGGTTTGCCCTGAAGGGTGTCCTGGACCTTGGGGTGAGGGGCGGCCTGGGTGAAGGTACTGTGGTGGTTTGCAGGCCAGCCATGTCCCCTAGCAATCTAATTGGAGGCCCTGGTTTCTGGGATTTATTTATCTTCTATAATTGAAATTTTATAGCTTTGAGTAGAGACCAAGGCAGGCCAAGACTGCAGAAGCTTGGCTTCCTCCATAGCCAGGGGCAACTTAAGCCTCCTGCTCTCTCCAGTTCTATGGCTGCCGCCATTTTTGTTGGAATTTATTTATTCTGTATAATTGAAACTTTGTAGCCTTGAGTGGAGGCCTAGGCCTGCCAAGGTGTGCGGAAAGCTTGGCTTCTTCCACTGTGGGGGAAACCCAAGCCTTCTGCTTGCTCCGTGGCCACAGCCATCTTGGTTGGGTTAATATGCATACCCACTCCTGATTGGCTTGTGGCTATGGCAGAGTGATGATTAATTTGCATATTACTCTATTAGCTAGGATATCGTGCAGAGAAAAAGAATTTTAGGCAAAGGGCTTAGAAATGATCCCTGAAATACAGCTATTACATTTACTTATCTATATAGGAAATCTTTCAGAAAAAATACAAAAATAGCTGGTAATGAATATCTCCATGGGAGGGCACAGGACTAGTGGTTGAAGGAAGACTTGTCACTATTATACTCTTATACTGTTTGTTGTTTTTAAAAGCAGGTGCACAAGTTATCTTATAATACACATGTATACATATGTCCCTAGAATGTAATAATCTTCAGAACCATTCTTTCTCTCAAACCTAGGAAGGATAATTCAACTGAAAAATAAAAAATAAAGTTATACTGAAAGAATGTTCATTATATAAATGTATGCTGAATTTAAAGGTCTAGTTTTTCAAACTCAAAACTCTGGTTTCTTACTCTTTTAAGGTCTAAATTTTCATTTCAGTCCAAATCTGACTCTACCGTGAAGGTGGTATGTTTCATTAAGTCTAATTAAGACCAAATTAATAAAAATTAATAAATTAATAAAAAATAAAAATTAATAAATCTCCCTTCATTTCTGAAACCAATAAAAATATATTTAAAAAGAATAATAAAATAAAAGCATATAGTTAGCTCTTGAACAATAGGGATTAGGTGCACCGACCACTCAAAATCATTAACTTTTGACTTCCCCAAAAGCTTAACTACATCAGTTGCCCTTGGTATCTGCAGGGGATTGGTTCCAGGGCCCCAAGAGATATCAAAATCTTC